TTTTTTAAACTATACTTTGTTTGTTTCAAGAAATTGGCCAGTCAGTTTAAAGAGCCATTTTTATTTTGTCATCTTGTTTGAAATAAACTTTTCATTAATATGTATATTGACATGGTAATTACGGTGTTTACTGTATGAAGATTGGTTGAATAGGGGCTGGAAGGCAAAACAAGCAGGAGGTGAAAACTGCTTGAAATAAGCCATTCCTTTGTAGGGCTGAGCCACCTGGTGGAATACAACTACTGTAGTATGGCCTGAAAGAAGTTTGGATGAAAGGGTTGGGTCAAGGGTCTTAATTAGGCCTGGGCAGACCTCTGCCTCTCAACACCGCAAAGCAGAGTTGTTAAGGAACTGTGCCTAAGTGGTTATTTTTGAGGACCTTATATTTCCTTTCCCACTAACTTGCAAGACTAGTTTTGTCCAGAAGTCTGAGAATGAAGAACAAAACGTCTTGGCAGTTTAAAAAAGGCTTCCTCGGAAAAGAGGAAGTGGTCATGGGGGGGGACACCAGACCAACAGAAGAACCTGCTTGGGAGGCTGAAGAACCAAAGGTGCTGAATGCAGTCAAACTGTTGGTAAGCATATGCGATCCACTCCTAGACCAGGCTCTGGAAGAGAACTGTAGACTTGTTCCTCAGGGGGAACTCATGAGGTTTTACACCCAGGAGTGCACTCAGACCAAGCCAGGAACAACACAGAGGTGCAGTTAGCCCTGCAGTATGAGACATGCCAAGAACAGTTTTAATATGTATGTACACAGTCCAACTAATTATGCTATTTTCTCCTTAGTTGATTTCATTCCCAAAAGTGCAAAGGCCTCTCCAGATTTGCTTGTCCATCAAGTGGACATAAGGCTTGAGCAAAACAGGTTAATGAGGCCTCTTCTCTGTCTGCAGGGGCCACAGTTCTCTGTGAATAACCTTGAGAGAACAGCATTTTGGAGTAAGGAATGTGAAGCCACTGGAGACTTCATTGTATTAATTTGTATAAAATATTAAAATGTGAAAATGCTGGTGAATGACCATTGTGGGGCCTTAAGAAAGCAGGTTTATAATAGCCTATTGCTTCACTAGGCAATAGAGAAGTAAAATTCCATTTAATTGGTTAGCCAGTTTAATTGGTTAACTGGTTAAACATCACATTTAAGGGGGCTGCTCTGGGCAATTGCAGCAGTCCCTGGCTTTGATGCCCCCCCACCCCCCAAGCCTGCTGCAGAGCTGGAGCAGTCCCCTAAGGCGGCAGGGGGGGAGCTGCTCCAGACCCCACCAGTTAACTGGAAGTGGTAAGTATTACCCATTAAGAGTGGTGCTTACCAGTTAACCTTTCACATCCCTACTCAGCAATCAACTACAGGCAAAGCTGAGCTCAAGATTGTGTGCAAGGAATGGCCTGGATGCTTTTACTTTAAGTAGCTCCTATTTCCATTTGGCTTCCTGTGACAGAAGCAGAAGAGAAAGGCTCTTAACATAAAACCTAAAGCTCTGCAGCCTGGAGAAGCTGACCCTGTCTGGGTATGCCCCCCTTTGTTCTAGCTGTGACCTACCACATTTGACTGCTTTCTACTGCTGTGGGGTGAGTGCTTGGTTAGAGGAGCTCACTGAGGCTGGACTCCTGGTTCTGGTCCCAGCTCTGCAACACAGGCTGGGTATGCTGTAGCAGAAAATAAAGATAACTAAAATTAAAGGTTTGCCATCTTGCATATAACTTCCCCACCCACAGGGAGGAGAAGGGCAGCAACTTTACTATAAACGTACATGAGTCTGGCAGTGGTTTACATCTGGCAGAGGAATTACAGGGATATAAACGTACATAATATGCATGAGTCTGGCAGTGGTTTACATCTGGCAGAGGAATTACAGGGCAAAGCAATCCCTGGGTGTTTAGTATTGGGCTAGCCTATCATGAATCAGATCCATAATACCAGGGTGTGGCTTGCACTCCAACATGAATGGAAAGCAAACTGGTAGAGTCAATCCTGACAGGCACAAGCAACAGTGGAATGCCTAGGCAACTGGTAATTCTTTTCAAGTTAAATTCATTGTCTTTTACTTTGTCTTGTATTATGAGATAAATTAGGTGCTTCTTCCCCTCCCTAACTTTTCTATGCCATTAATTATTCAGACTGCAGTCCTGGAACTATCTAGCTCAGGGAGGGGAAGAAGCACCTAATTTAACTTTTCTATGCCATTAATTACTCAGACTGCAGTCCTGGAACTATCTAGCTCAGAGAGGACATACAGACAGTCCCCGGGTTACGTACAAGATAGGGACTATAGGTTTGTTCTTAAGTTGAATTTGTATGTAAGTCGGAACTGGCTCCAGATTCAGCTGCTGCCACTGAAACTGACCAGGGGCTGACTACAGGAAGCC